CAGCCGGTTTCAAACAGCCTCACCCCCTGCCTCAGGATGCCACTGCACATTCTCCATTTGCTAGATTTTGAGGGGCCCAGTGTCCTCCATATAGATCTTCCAGCACCTGCAAATCAGAGCAAACCAGGTCCCCTCGACATAAAAGAGGAAGCTTAGAGATGGACACCAACACTGGTGGCTCCAGAGAGAAAAGCCACGCCAGATGGTCAGAACCTGCTCCTCTTTACTGGCTGTGTGCTGGATTGGACAACGCTTACCTAAGGGGTCCTGAGTGGACAGGGCTTACCTCTTCACATGCTCAGACTGAGCCTAGTGAGTCTTCTGAGTGACAGGAGGTGACATTAAATGCAGAAATGAATGAGGTCACGATGGCAGGCCCTTGCCTGTAGCTTTTTTCTTTTGAGGTGCTGGGAATTGAAATCCATATCCTCAGGCTGCAGCTAATTGAAGGTAAGGTTTCCTTAGAGATGTGGGAAATAGCCCAGCCAGGAGGACATTTGTATTTAACCTTGCATATAAGGCCTTTCAATTTCTGGATTATATAAGTCTTATATTATTCATGGATGGAAATAACAAAGTGAAAATCCTGCAAAATTTCATTAACTTCCCTGCTCTCTTCTCTTATTAGGAAAGAGATTGACCTGGGAAGAATCACCCTAAGGCAACAATAATCAATACTAATATGTGGTGCAAGGGTAATTAAAAAAATTTCTAGTGTTCACATAAAACAATAAACAGTAGAAATTGAGTTTAATAACATTATCCAACATACCCATTATGTAAATATTACCAATATGTGACCATAATTACTAATGAAGTATTTTGCAATTTTGCAAAATTTTGCAATTTGGCCTTAGACCTAATGGCCAGTCCATTACATTTTTTTCATCCTATGATGAAAGCCCCTCAATAAGCAAGGGGTTTGGAATCAAGATGAATTTTGTTGCGGGGCTGGGATTGAGGCTCAGCGGTAGAGCGCTCTCCTAGCATGGGTGGGACCCGGGTTCAATCCTCAGCACCACATTAAAAAATAAATAAATAAAGGCATTGTGTTGTGACCATCTACACCTGAAAAATAAATATTAAGAAAAAAGATGAATTTTGTTGCCATGCATGTGGCACACACCTGTGATCCCAGCAGCTTGGGAGGCTGAGGTAGGATTGCAAGTTCAAAACTGAGCAACTTAGCAAGACCCTGTTAACTAAATAAAATATTAAAATGTGCTAAGGATGTGCCTCAGTAGTTAAGTGCCCCTGGTTTCAATCCCAGTATAAAACAAACAAATTGCATCTAATTTGAAACCCAAATACCTCCACTACACCATATGACTCATACAACTTTTCTTATTAATTTAGGAGTTGTTAGTGATATTTGTTCAAAAAAGCAGGATTTCTATGTATGAGTGTGTACATACTACCATGTAATATATACACTTATATATTGTACACTATATTTACATATACATATATATTGCTTGCTGTCTGATATATGGAATGGAATGGATCATGGCCAGCATTTGGTGGGAAAATGTCTACTTCTGGAAACTTTCTGGGTAAACTCCCTGCTCTCACACAGGGCAATATCTCTCTTTTGAACCTGAGAAGAAATATTGGTAAAGAACTGTATTCCTCACCTAAAAGAAATGCACTCAATAGACTTACCTACACCTATGTGTGTGTGTGTGTGTGTGTGTGTGTATAAATAAATATGTATATATTATATATAATAAGCACATATGTAATATCTATATATAATATATAAACAAAACCTTTTCATGTACCTGATTGGTTATGGGGCTCCCTTTCCAGGACCCAGGAAAGTCCTGGTTCAATTTATAACAAGGACTGACACCAGCCAGAAGTATTCTCAACCCTCCTCTACAATCAGCAAATAATAAAGGTTTCTATGTCATTTTCTAAACATAGCTAAACAGTAATAGAGGCATAAAGCAGAAAAATATTTTGTCAGGAACACAAAGTAAAAAGACAAGGAGAAACACAATGAAGTTTTGCCACCTTGAACACAAGAGAATTGGAATCTGGAATTCAGACAAAGAAGATTCAATCTTTTATATTTGGGAATGTGGATGACATGGTTGTCTACAGTGAAAAGATTATTATAACCTTTTGAAAGAAAATTTATGTGAGTGGCAAATAATGGTTAAACAATTAGTATCTGCAAAGTGGTTTGTTAGATGTGGGCCACAGCACATACATGTATTAGTAGCTCCATGAAGAACATTATTCATCTGTGTCCCCTAAAATCATTCCCATTGTAAAGATGAGAAAACACAGGTTTCTGGACATTAAATGGAAACTCAGTAGTACACAGAGAACTACCCAGAGACAGAACTGTATGAAATCCCTTCAAAGCTCCTCAAAGGCTGGTTTGCTCCTGATATAGGGGATGTCAGTCTGGAGAAATATTTTCTCTCCATTTTGAAGAGAGTGCCTAGAAAAGACATCCCAGGAGCAACACAAGTGTTTTTCCTTCTTTAAGGTTAAGGAACTCTTCACCAGCACAACTATCAACCCAGATTCCTTATGAGGGTAAATGCTTAGAGCTTTCAGGGTGCAAAAAAGCACACCACAGGACCGGAGTCTGACTCAGAAAAGAAATACATCTAAAAGGCTTATAGCAAATTGAAAAAAAAATGATGTAACTATTTCAAAAAATAAATATGTCTCAGCACATCATTCAGTAAACAATAAATTATGGATGAATATTTCTAGGATTTGCCAAATCTTATCGCATATGATTTTGTAGTAAATTCCAAAATCCAGATAATAAAATGCATGATTCACTGTCAAAAACATTCAAGAAGAAAAAAAAAAAAAACCTTCAAGGAAGAGGAGTGTATGTTTTAGTAAATGTGTCATTCAATAATTTATTTACTTACTAAATAATTTTGAGGAAATATATTCATTTTCCTGCAGCCATAGGGAAGGGAGATTTTCCTTATTTATTTTTCCTGTTAGAATTTCCAAATATAAGGGCTGGGTATAGCTCAGTTGGTCGAGTACTTGCCTTGCATGCACAAAGCCCTGGGTTCAACCCTCAGCACCACAAAAAAATAAAAATAAAAATAAAAGAAAGAAAAAGAATAGAATTTCTAAAGATAAGGTCTAGAATTTCATTTGAAATAACCTCTAAATATAAAGCAGACAAGAAACATACAATATATACTCAGGGGAAAAAAAAAGGTGATTTTTAAAAAATAATTAAAAGTAAAATTATTGGCTTTTTCTTGAAATGAAACTCTATCTCCCTTGTTGGATTTATTTTCTTATTTTTGAAGCCAGAAACCACAAAAGAAATACAGGGAAGAGCCTTGAACTGCCAATTTATACAGGAGATAATCTAAGTATTCAATAATCATAAAAAATTCAACATCTTTAAAAATTAGAGAAATATAAAATAAAATCCCATCACAGACAAAATTAAATATTGATGAAGATATAAAACAAATGAATACTCATAAACTCAAGTGCAGTTTAAGTTATTATTACCTGCTTGTGGAAACTGTATGCTATTGAATATATACAATACTCCCCATCATAGACTTACTGAAATTACAGCATATGTGACCATGATAATATGTAAGAACACAACAATACTCATCTAAACACTTGAAACCCAGGGGGATGTTCAAGAGAATGCACATCTTGGAACAGATAAATAATAACCTGTGGAAAAATAGTCACTAGGGGCCAGTCACATTTTTGGTCATAGTTATCCAGTTTAAAAAATAGTGTAAAACACCATGTTTAAGTTTTATTTTTTGCATGTGTATTTCACATGTACACATGTTTAGAAAGAAAATATGTGGAACTTATGAGAAAACAAAAGTCATCAGAACTACATCAGAGACTCAATTACACATCCATGTGTACATGATAAAACTCATCATTATAAAAATGGCAATTTTTCCCAAATTAACCTACAAAATATATTCCCACCAAAATTGCTATTACATATATGAATATATCACAGTAAATTTTAGCTTTATGTGTATCTATAAAGCAGTAATTTTAAAAACTATAAATAAATGGAAGAGAGGGAAGGGAAGAGGGAAAGGGGAATCACTGGGTAATGAAGTGGAGCAAATTATATTCCATACTTGTATGATTATGTCAAAATGAACCCAATATTATGTATAGCTATAACGCCATAACAAAAAAATTCAACATTCTTTACTTTTAATGAAATAAGTAACCAAGGCATGAAGTTCTAAAATTCATCCACAAAGTTATATATAACTTTAGCCAAGAAACTTTTCAATTATAAGAGCAAAATAAGTACTTATCATTACCTGACATTCATGTATATTATAAAACTATACTATATTACCATAATATCAAGGAATCACAATTTAGCAAAATCAATATATGAATCCATATGTATGTAGAAAATATATACTTAATTGCAATAGAAAAGTCTAGATAAATCAAACCCTAACAAAGCCAATCTCAGCAACTTAGCTAAACCTGTCTCAATAAACAAATACGTAAATAGTACCAGGGATATATATAGCTCAGTAGTATAATATCCCGCAGTTCAACTTTCAGTAACTAAAAAAAAAAAAAAAAATGAAAACGAGCTAGCTCAGGAAGAAGTGAGGTCCCTATAGACCACAGCTTCTCTCCTGCAGGAAAAGAACATGTGGAGACGTGATCATGATGATCGTCCCACCTGTCACCAGCGCTCGTCAAGAGTCTGGGCTGCAGGCGCACACCTGCCAGATAGTATTTGACGCAGGGGCTGAGGAGGCCCTGCGAGGATAAGAAAGGTGGCTATGGATCTCTGCCACTGACGTCTCCCCACCTAGATGGCCGGTAGGACTGGGGCATACTGCCCCAGCGGAGGGCTCAGCCTGCAGGCTCCAGAGACTGCCGGAGTCCCGTCTGCGAGCTCCCGGTCCTGCCACAGCCAGTGCCCAGGTTCCCAGCCTCCCTCCCCAGCCTCCCTGCCCAGGCTCCAGGTGCCACTGCACACTCACCATTTCCTGGTGCTCAGGAGCCAGGCTGCTCCCTAAGGACCTTCAGAACCTGCACAGCAGAGCCACCCGGACTCCGAAGCTTGAGAGTGAAACTTGGAGACAAATGGCAGAAATGGCGGACTCCAGGGGGGAAAAGGACCCGATTTCGGAAGCCCGCCCCCTCCTCGCTGGCTGCACACCGGATTGGACAGTTCTCACTAAGTGCTCGTGAATGGACAGGGCTTCAGACTGTGCCCTGAGTCTGAGCCCGTAACCTTCTTTTTGAGTAACAGGAAATAATACCCAATCCAGTCATGCATCAGGCCAGAATGACAGATTCTTGGTTGCAGGTTCTTTTTTTCTTTTTTCTTTTGAGGTCTGGTAATTACACCTCAGAGCCTCAGGCTGATGCTATTTTATGGCAAGATTTCCTTCCAAAAGTAGGATCTAGACCAACCAGCAGAACATTTGCATCTAACCTTGCGTATAAGGTCATTTCAGTTTATGGATTATATATGCCTGTATATTATCCATGAATGAAAATAATGCAATGACAATTACTATAAAATTTCATTTAACTTTTCTGGCCTCTGTTCTTGTTAGGAGACAGATTGAAATTTGAACTGGGGAGCAACCCCCAAAACAACAATGTCCAATGAAAACAACATGTAAGGCACAAGGGTAATTTAAATATTTCTAGTATTCACATTAATAATGTTAAAAGTGACAGTTGAAATTGATATTAATAACATAATTCAGAATATCTAGAATATTATCTTTCTGTGACTAAGAATACTACTAATGAAGTATGTGTGCTTTTGGAACTACATCCTCAAGTTTGACTCGCTCCATCATATCTCAGTTCACAGGAACCACATTCCAGATTTGAGCGCTATGGATCCCCTAATATCAGGGACTTTAAGGGCATGGTCTATCTCTTTATATGCTAGAGCTGAGCAATACAGTTTCTCACTAATATTTCTCCTCAAGCCCCAAAATTAGGAGAAACAGTGCCCTGAGTGGGAGCAGGAAGCTCCAACCAGGAAGTGTCCAAAAGTAGATCACTCTTTCCCACATCATACTGGTCTCAGGTTCTTTCCCATTGTAGGTATTGGACAGCAAGAAAAGGAAGATGGGGGCTGGGATTGTGGCTTAGCGGTAGGGCGCTAGCCTAGCACGGGCAGGACCCAAGTTCCATCCTCAGCACCACATAGAAATAAAGGCATTGTGTTGTGTCCATCTACACCTTAAAAAAATAAATAAATATTTTTTTAAAAAAAAGAAAAGGAAGATGGGATCCCAGGAGGTTAGAAACACATAGGCTGTAATCTTCAGCAGTCTTTACTCTATTGTTTAAATACATCAAATGCAAACATATTTGGCAATTTGGGTTTATACCCAATGGCCAGGCTGTATTATATGTTTTCTCTTGTGGACAGACTCTCACAACTAATAATCAGGTGGGCCAGGACACAGGATGAGCTGTGTCTGATTCCAAAACTGAAACACCTCCACCAGATCACAAGACTCTTGCAACATTCCTTATTCTCATCAGACTTGGAAAGTGACTTATTCAAAAGAGCAGGCTTTGTGATATATGTATATAAAATGCAGTCCTGCATATTACAGAGTGCCACACAAACAGAACATTCTCATAGATCTCTGTTATCTTGGGGCTCCCATTCCAGGCTCCATGGAATCATGTTTCAGTTTACCTCAAGGGCAAACACCAGCTAGAATTTAATCAACACCCTTTACAAATGAAAATATAGGTTGATATCGAATATATGTAAGTTTAATCAGGGTTTATAAATTATAGAATAGGCTGATTTAGAGGGATGTAAAGGACTACTAAGCTCTATGTTTTCAAAGCAAAGAGGGACAAGGCTATAGAGGCCTGCAGCACATTTCTTTTGTTGATGGCATAGAGCAAAAGGAGGCCAAGGATGACATATAATTATTGGCAGTACACGAAACATCAGAGAATTGGAATCTGGAGGTCAGACCAGGAAGATTTGAAATACTGTATTGGGGCATGTGAAGGACATGAGTGCCCATGATAAATAGGTTATAAACTTCTGAAAGAAAGTTGATATGGTGTCAGAGAAGGTTAAGCAGTATCTACACAACAACTTCAAGGTGTTTTATCAGCTGTGGAAGCACAGCACCTACTTATATCAGAGCCCCCACGAAGCCATTATCCACCTGAGACCTCTAAAACATCCAGTTGTAGAGATGAGAGAACACAGGCTTCTAGGTATCAAATGGCTTCTCAGCAAGCAGCTTGTGTCAGAACTGAGAGCTGCCCAGAGAAGAACTGCATGAAATTCTTTCTAAGCTTCTCAGTCTGGTTTGCTACTGATATAGGGGATGTTGCAGGTTTGTCTGGTTTGTCACCTCTCAAATAGAGAAATATTATTGCTTCTCCATTTTAAAGAGCAACCCTAGTGAGGATGTCCTAGGAGGTCCCTTTGAGTTCAGAGACTATGGTTTATCCTGCTTTCATGTTAAGGGAAGACTTTAGTAACAGAGGTATGTCAACCCAGGTTCCTCACTGGGGCAATTACAAGAGAGCACAAAACAGGGCCCAAAATATGGGTTGGACTCAGGGAAGAAAAAAATCTAAATGGTTGATAAATCAACTGAAAGGTAACTCAAGTTTTCAGTTGGGAAATTGGAAAAAAATAGAACAGTGTGAATTTAGTTGCCACATGGAAAAGAGATTAATCAAGAAAAATAATTTTTAAAATGCCAGCACCCAGAGAAGCCTGGCTGCAGAGAAGCAGCAACAACCAGAGATTTCTTGTGGCAATGTAACTTCAGCAGCTCTTCTGTGCTGTAATCTGATTGTAGCTGTTAAAATGTCACATGTGCATATCCCTTCACTCAGTATTCCCTTTCCAGAAAGTCTGCCTTTAGCAGGAGACTAGTTTATGTTCTTAGCTGAATTGTGTCCCCTCCCCAAGTCTCATATATTGTGGTTCCAAATACCTAGCGCCTCAGACTGTGAATCTATTTAAATATATAATTTTTAAAGACATAATTAATGTTAATCTAGTTAATTGGTATAAAGTCTAATCCAATTAAATTTTTCTCCTTATAAAAAGCAACAATAAGGACACAGAGAAGCACAGAAAAATTTCATGCAAACTTAGAGACAGAAGATAGCAATAGACATGTCACAGAGTGGAGTCAAAGGAAATCATTACAGCAGGCACCTTGATATGGAGACTATGGAATTAGCTCAAATAAATTTCTGTTTCACCTCATTTGTTACATTGCCATGACAGACTAGTGGTACTGATACAATCCACTAGGACATGTATACTCTGTCCCTGCAGCTTGGCTGAATGAAGTAACAATTGAATCACATCACATTCCACCAGCATGGAAAGGCTAAACTGCTGCAAGAAATAACATTTTTTACTGCAGTATTATGAAGGCTTGTGAGAACATACTCCTTATCTTATGGGGCCATAGAGAATTGTTTTGTGGTATATTATATGAAAAACTTGTCTTACCTCATTTGTTTGTGAAACTCTCTTCTTTGTGTCAATACTTCCCTGGTAAAGGAGTTAGTTTTTAAGCCTTGTAAAAGAAGTAGAAGTATAGTGATGACTGGTACATGGGCTACCTGGGGCAGGTAGCTAAAACAAAAACAGTAGCATCAGAAAAGAAATATTTAGTGCACAGTAAACATTGAAAATGATGTGGAAATAGTTTCTCTGTTATTTCCACAAGTATGTAATCTAGAGATTTACACCTATTAGGTCGCCAAGGGAAGTAACACAGTCTAGATTTCTTTGGGAATTGGAATGTAAGTCTTTCAAGTGGTAAATTCCTGGTATAGTGTTTAGGGGAGTCTCCATATTTGGTATTTGTCCTGGACCTATCTTGGCTATCTCCAATTCCTGGCTGTGGAGATCCTTCTCCAGAAGTCTAATCTAACCTTAGAACAGAGATATTGTTGGTTGTGTAGTGCCCTTGTTCTTTCCCTAAGATACAAAATGAATAAATAGCTCCAAGATGATCTGCATAGAAGTCTGCAAAGAGATTGTTTTACATGTAGGAAGATAATTAGCTCTGGTCATCCTGGCTGCCTCCACCGGGAGCACTCCCATTGAAATTTTTTATACCTAGATTAGCTATATACGAATATAGGACTCCATACATTGGCGACACTGGGTTATGGTGTTACTTGAGTTCCATTACCTCATTCCATTACAATGCTAGAGGAGCAGCCAGAGTAAAGTATTCACTTGTGAATATTCACCCTGATTATAAACTCTTTGAGGTCAGGGTCAGTGCTCAATGCCTAAGCAACATTGACACATTCGGTCAAGTTCTAGCCTGAATATTCAGGGGAAAAACCATCAAAATGATTTGGATTCTGTAAAATTCAGTGCCATTCTTCTTGAATTTCACCTTCCGTGAGGCAAGGAAGGCTAGGTACACCTGGATGAGCTTCCAGGCCTGAGTTCCCAGTGACAGTGAGGTAGGACATGCAGGGCAGAGTTGGGTTCCCAGGCAGCTCTGAGGCTCTGAGTGGGGCAGGGACTATAATTGGGTTATATCTTTCTATATTTCTACATTGCCCCACATGCTCATTAATACCACCACAGTTGTATAGGCTTCAGGCATTTTTCTCAAGAAATACAGCATCAAATAGCACAATAGTAATCTCATCATACATGCAATTTACTATTTTTTACATTTATTTATTTTTAAAAAATATTTTTTTAGTTGTTGATGGACTTTATTGTCTTTATTTTTATGTGGTGCTGAAGATGGAACCCAGTGCCTCATGCATGCTAGGCGAGCATGCTACCATTGAGCCACAATCCCAGCCCCAATTTTTTTACATTTAGCATTACCCGAGTTACTCAAACCATCCATATTTTTGAACCATTGTTCTTAAGTCTGCAAATGTTGTAGAACGGCTGTACCATGGTTGATCCAGCCATCTTGTTCCTTTTTCAATATTTGGGTTCCTCCTAGTTTTTAGCTATCATAAAAATAATCTATAAAATATGAAGAACTTACCCAAAATAGTAAAACCAAAGAGTGAGGGTGGAGGAAGTATTTTTGGTTGAGGGAGGATTTCTGTTCTCT